AGCTTTGTTACAGAGGTAAACTCGTGTCACAGGGACTTGCTGCATGGCTCATTTCATCATGCAGGCGTAAGACCAGTATCCAATAGTTATCTTTTCTACTCTTCCCACTCTTTGCCCTCCAGTAGACCCCAGTGTCTGTTGTTTCTTTTTTGTGTTCCATAAGTTCTCATCTTAGTTTGCAGTTACCCAGTTTTGGAATGCCGTGAAAAAATAATTACGTTTTTTAAAATTTTTTTTTTTTTTTAGAATCCTCCCCAAATAACAGAAAACCACTACTCTACTCAAATCTCAAAAATATCCAAATGTATGTTTTAAATAGAAGAATTAAAAAATTATTTTCTCTAGATTCTCTATTTTTTAAACCTTTAAAAAAATGATTTCAATGAATAATGTGTTCTGAGGTGAATTTGACTGTAATATACATTCTACTTTACAACATTCTTCTACTAAACATAATAAACTTCAACTTGGCTGAATTTATATTCATCTAGGATAGGTGATTTAATATTTCAAAAAAAAAGATGAAGTTCCCAGGCTTCAAGAAGCTTACAGAGGAGTGTGGAGGGACAGATATATAATGATTAGAAGTGAAAATAGTATTATTTAAAATTTAAAAAGAGATACAGAAAAAGAGAGTGTGTGTGTGTGTGTTAGTCCTCCCTGAGGTAATTTATAATCTAATGCCAAAAAGAAAAAAAATTAAGCTGAAAGCTGAGTCATGCAGCAGATCCTTTCTTTTTATTTATAAGCAGATAGCTACAGATAAAAGTTAAGTATCTCCACAGGTAGCTTCCATGTTCACCTTATCTTTTGGAAAGTGCCAATTTTCTGAGGGCAAGATAAATATGTAATTGACTATTCCCTCACCTGCTCCTTTTCTCTTGCAACTTGTGGATTCAGTATTGTGACCATAACCTTCTTTTCTCCTCCAGCCTGTTTTTTCCCTTTAAATACTGAAGCCCCCAGAATCATCTTTGGAGAAAGGCAGACCGCAGCCTATGTCTGTGATTCCATGCTTTTTCTCCTGGGTCCTGTCCTTAACCTCTGCAAAATAAACTTCTAAACTGATTGAGGCCTGTTTCAGATACTTTTCTGGTTTACAATTGTTTCTTCTTGGTTGCTCACTACACTGCTTAAGCAAAGTGGTCTTTCTGCTCCTTGAGCATGCCACTTTTCTTCCTAGATTAGGATTTTTGCAGGACATGACTAGCTCCTTGTCAAGTGTTTCTCTTAGCAAGGCCTTCTATGATCATCCTCTTGAGAGTAGCTTCCCCTCCCCGTCATTCTGTGTCCCATGAACTTCTTTTATTTTCTTCACATCACTTATTATTTGAAACTACCTTATTGGTTTCTTTTTAAGGTTATTTGTCTCTCTACAATAAAAGGTTCTTGTTCACTATTATATTCCAAGCAATTAGAAAAATACTTGGTAGGTACTCAATAAATACTTGCTTAAAGAATGCTAGTGGAAAAAACAAGTGAGCCTTCAACAATATAAAAATACTGTAGAAGGGAAAATAACTCATATAACGGACACCTTGTGAAAATTTATTATCCTAGGTCTAATAGATGAGAAACTGCCTAAGTATACTCTGCTGTTAAGATTAAAGACTTTTGTCAAGGGTGCTAACACTGAATATAGGCAAAACACTCTTTGCAATAAGCAGTGCTGACACAACTGGAAAGCCACATGCAATAGAATGAAAGTGGACCTGTCCATCATATCACATACAAACATTAACACAAAATAATCACAGGCCTAAATGTAAGATTTAAAACTACAAAAATCTCAAGAAGAAAACATAGAAGTAAATCTTTGTGACACAGACTAGAAAATGGTTTCTACTATGCAACACAAAAAGTACGAGTGACAAAAAAAAAATAAACTGAACTTCATAAAAATTAAAACCTTTTGTTTCAAAAGATACCACCAAGAAAGTGAAAGGACAATCCACAAAATGGGATAAAATATTTGCAAATCATCTAGCTCATAAGACACTTGTATCTAGAAAATATAAAGAACTCAAAAGTAAACAATAAAAAGACAAAAAAATCCCAATTTTAAAATTGGGCAAAATATTTGAACAGACATTTCTCCAGAAAATAAAAGTACAAATGGCACATAAAAATGCTCAACATCATTAGTCATAAAGAAAATGCAAATCAAAATCACAATGATACATCCACCTTTCACCCACCAGGATGGCTATAAAGACGTGAATACAGGTGTTGGTGAGGATGAGAAGAAATTGGAACTTCATTCATACATTGCTGGTGGAATTCTAAAATAGTTCAGATGCTCTGGAAAATGTTTTGGGAGTTCTTCAAAATGTCAAACATAGTTACCATATAACCCAACAGTTCCACTCCTAGATACATATCCCATAGAAATGAGACTATACATCCATGCCAAAACTTATACATACAATGTTCATAGAAGTATTACCTTAACAGCTAAAAAGTAGAAACAGCCCAAATGTTCAAAAATTGATCAAATATAACAATATGTAACCTATTCGTACAATGAAGTCTTACTTGGCAATAAAAAGTAGTGCAGTTGACCCTTGATCAACATGGGTTTGAACAGTGCAGGTCCACTTACGGGTGGATTTTTTCCAGTAAGTTACACCAAGTGTGCCCGCCTCTCCCGCCTCCCCTCCCCAATTCTCCACCTCTTCTGCCTCTGCCCCCAATGAAATAGCAAGACCTAACCCTCTTCTTTCTCCTCAGGCTCTTCAATGTGAAGACAAAGGAAGACCTCTATGATGATTCACTTCACTTAATGAATAGTAAATGTATTTCCTCTTCCTTATAATTTTCTTAATAACATTTACTGTTCTCTGGTTTACTTTAAGAATATAGTATATAATACACATAACATATAAAATATGTGTTAATTAACTGTTCACATTATCAGTAAGGCTTCCAGTCAACAGCAGGCTATGAGTACTTATATTTTTGGGGAGTTACAAGTTATACATTGATTTTTGACTGCACAGGGAGTTGGTCCCCCTAACCCCTGAGTTGTACACTGATATATGTTACAAATAGAGGAATCCTGAAAACATAATTTTGAGTAAAAGAAGTCAGTTACAAATGACTACATATCATCTGACCCCATTTATATGAAATGTCCAGATTAGCCAAATCTATAGAGAAAGTATATTAATGGCTGCCAGGAATTTTTACAGGAGTTTGTATTTGAAGTGTGTATGCGTAGGAATTGTGGGAATGACTGCTAAGAGATACGGGGCTTCATTCAGGAGTGATGAAAAAGATCTAAAATCAGATAGTAGGGATGGCTGCAAAACTTTGTGAATATGGTAAAAACCAGTGAATTGTTTTAAAATACTTTAAAAGAGTAAACATCATGGTATGTAAATTATAGCTCAATAAAACTATTATAAAAAAGAATAACTGAAGATACTAGTAAAGTTAATCTTTCCAGACACTGATTAACTTCCAAATTAATGATTTTTTCAATGAGTATTTATTCTACCTTTATTAAATACTAGGGATATGATGATGAATGGCATGGTCCTTCACCCTTGGGGAGTTTCCAGATTCGTAGAGGCTGCTCTCCATAAAGGCTTGCTCAATTTGTGCAGGACACTTTACTCTTTGGACATTCAGACAGCATTGCAAAAGAAGAGTATGCAGCACATTTGTTAAAGAGAAATAGCTTTGAATTGCTAGTCAGAAAATAAATTATATTTTTGCCTCTGATTTTATATACAATGCATGCTTAAGAAGGTTTAGTAATCTTGCAGCTACAATCATTACACCAATCATTGCTATCAGGAACATTTCCTGAACATCTGCAGCCCAAGTCAGAATATAGCTTGTTCTCTTTTCCCCCCGTCTTCCTTCCTCTTGTCTATATTCCATATCCTGTTGACTTGTGATAATTAGGTATAAAAGTGATGGGTTCTGACTGATGCTGGACAGCTCAGTGATGGGGTAAGCCTTGTACCTTGTATTTTCTGATATATTCCTCCCACCCTAAGATGCCCCCTGAGGAAAGAGATAATATCCTACTCTATTCCAAGTGCCTACCAAATTAGTAGGTATCTGCTGTATTAAAAAAATTTTTTTTCATTACATTGATATTATATGGAACAGTCTTTAAATATACTAACACCATTCCAATTCTTTCCTTCTGGATGTTTTACCTTTTCTTTGTGATCTATTATTGTATCTGTTAAATGAACAGATGTCTAATTATTTAACTGAATTTTGGGAGTGGACAGAAGAACAGGGAAGAATGAACACATGTTGCCATTCCAACTCCTTAATTTATTTTCCCAACACCTAAGTTAAAAGTTAGACATAAAATAACCTTCCTTGAAAAAGGAAGAAAGTTGCCATGCTATGCTTTGTTGAAAACATCAAGGATACAATTTAGTTGAAATTGTTTAATAATTAAGAGCCTTTTTATACACTACCATTTTGAGACTAACTTGGGAACTTGGGCTTAACCTCAATTAACATCAGTCTCCTCCTTTCTAAAACTGGAATAACAATTATATCTAATCAATTTCTCAGGATTACTATACAGTATGGTTAAATGAGAAGGGAAAAGTAAAATACTTATAAATGAGGAAGAGCATTATCAGTACAATAAATCATTTGTGTACAGCCTATATGCATTTCAATGCTTATACAGTTTACTCAGCATCTACCCACTGGAACTATATTGATTGGTCTCTTATACAAATTAAATATCATATAAAATTTTTCTCAGAGAATGAAATGATCTTGCTGATCCCTTACTCAAAGTATATCTCAATCAATCACTTAGTATTCTCAAATCTTGATCACCCTTACTGAAATCTCAGGTTCCAGTATTATAATTCTTTAAGAAACCTGAGCTCCAATAACGAAAGTATACTTCAGATTAATCTTTATAAAGGTACCAAACTCTATGAATGGTGAATTCCAATTCTTTGGTGCACCACTATACCTTTAAAGTTATCTTCTGGGTAATAAAAGCAACTTACTTTTGCAGCAGAGGATTGTATCACCTCCTAAAAGGAATACAATAAAATAAGGAAGTATTCATAATTTCATTAAATAAAGTATTGACTGTTTTCAAAACACTCAGATGTTAATCTTCTAATAACCTAAATTAACATTTGTAAGTTTCTTTATCCATTATCCTGCAGTTGTCACTCTGCATTGTTTCCAATGAAAGAGACTTAATGACATATTCAGGGTGAATCTAACTTGCCCAAACAAATGGCAATCAGAAACTTTTTGAGGGCTCACAGGTATCTGCCTCAAGAAAAACTTGCTCTCCAATTAATAGAATAATAAAATTATATACTAGAACCCTAACAGGTATAAAAGACACAAGCTAAGTTAACTGCAATATACAATTATCTCTATAACAATAACCATAAACAGAATTCCCACATTATTTGTATCAGATGAAATCTAATATTAAATAGTAAATACTACTAAGTGATAAAATATATGACTAGTATTGAAGGAGCTACAGAAAGGAACTATGTACAATTCTTGGTATAAGACCAAGAAAAGATCATTTTGAAAGAGACACTAGTAAAAGTCAGCGAATTATGGACAACTTGAAAATCTGCTGCTAAGGAGACACTAAAAATACTCAAGTCCAATTAGGAGTTAACCAGCATATATCATCAGTTTAGTATAGAACTAGTAAAAAATGGTCATAATCAACATGGAGTTTAGAAAAAAAAGAGAACTAAAAAAGTAGATAATTCAGTTATTTGGAGCAATACCATTTAGTCATAATATAAATGATTTAATTATTTCATAATTAGCATACTTGAGTGCATGTTGCTGCTGCAGCAATACTTACAAGCATTCTGCAACCCAGGTAAGACCTCACAGGTGGATATTTTCTTGAGAACATTGGTATATCTCATTCTAAGTTTTTAGATCCAGAAATTTGATTTTATCAGTGTATCCAGAATTGCAATTCTAGAGTATCTATTAATTTTTTACCTAGAAATTTCTAAGCGGCAGATACCATGTCTAAAGCATATCAGTAATTCAGTCACTAAAAGGAGACAGCAAAACTGACTGTGGACATGGGAGTCCAACCACCTGGGCTGAATCCCAGCTCCAGTGCTTACTACTTGTGTGATCTTGGTTATGTGGCTTGATCTCTGTAAGCCTCAAATTCCTCTTCTGGAAAATGGGAACAAAACTCATCCCTATAGGATGGTTTGAGGATTAAATACAATAAAATGTAAAGCATTTAGCACAGTGCCAGAAATAGATCAATTATTACTAATAATTAAACAGACGTTAGTTATCATTAATTAATATATAAGGTGGTATCTCCTGTGGGGTAGAGAAAATTAGTCAATCTTTTGTCAAAATTGGCATAAAACATTTTCAAACCCATCCAATCCATACCTCTATGACTCTGCTTAGCAATCAATTCTGTGATCATTAGCCTGGGCTTCAGGTTAAATTTAGATAGGGAGAGATCTTGAGTGTTCAGCCTGCCAGAATGGTCTACCTTTTATTATATTATCAGATATATTTTAATGGATTCTCATTTATTAATCAACTTTTTGTAGGATTGAGTAATCTTAAATAGATACTACAGATTCGGAGCAACTCTGGATGCACTGATTACAGCCAAATTTCTGGATCTGAAAACTTAGAATGAGATATACCAATGCTCTGCAGGATACTGTCTACCCGTGAGGTCTTACCTGGGTTGCAGAATGTTGTTAGGTATTGCTGTGGCAGCAACATGCAGTCAAGTATGCTAATTATGAAATGATTAAGTGATTTATATTATGACTAAATGGTAATCTTCCCAATAACTGAGAATTATCTATTTTTTGTATCCTTTACTCATTAATGCCTAAACATCTATTACATACCTACTAAACTAAATTTATTATGCAACTCACTCACACATACACAAAAATAATCATACTCTAAACCTATAACATAATTTATTAGAAAAACATTCCTATTGTAATAACAAAGAAATAAAAAAGGAATTTGGGGTCTACTGAAATGCAATTGCAAGAAACAACAGAAAAGGCATAATGACAAAAGGTGGGAATTCAGTTAACCTAAATGCTTGCAAAATATAGAATAAGGCTGCCATAGGAATAAAGACGATACTGTTTTTATTCCCATACATACTAGGTACATTCTGAAAGAAAATACATTGCAGATAGCATCCAAAAAAATAAATTCAGTGAAATCTCTCAATAAAGGAAAAATAATGGTTTTCAAAAACCAAAGCAAAAGTTTTCATTTCCAAAGGCAGCTTCTATCTATCTTAACACCAAAGCAGACATATTCTCTAAATAATTTTAAAAAGAAAAGATATGGAAAAGGTAAATAAAGTAATAATTTGAAGTTTTTTCTTTTATAATAAATTACCCATTTACTTCTCTCTTGCCTTTCATTTCATTTTTAAAAAAACATTTTTTCTGATTTTATTCTTCCTTTACATCTACTTTCTTTAGTTCTCACATCTTTTTATTTATCTGAGGATGACAGGTATATAAAATTAAATTAGAGAAAAGCTATAAGACTTAGGTGATTCCAGGATATTAAGTTTTATAGTATAAAGACCGACAGACTATAGGAAAATTGCTTTTTACATCGTTGGTGAGTTGTTTTTACATCTGTAGATGAAGTTACTTTACCATGCAAGGTTTTAGAGAAGGAACACATTTTTTTTTTTTTTTTCCTGGTGAAGAAATATGTTTCTCTTCATTTTTAAAACTCAATGTATCTATTCGGACTTCCTTTTAAAATCCGGAACACCATGCATTATTCGATTACATTAAACATGTTGAAATAAAAAGAACTACAATATTGAAATAAATTTATTATAGTTATATATTCTAAAATTTAACTGAGAAATATAATTTTTTTTTATATTCCAACATATATTCTGGGTTTAGGGTAAATCTAAGCCCAGAGATGGAGTGTAATCCGCATCCTGGTACACCTTCAAGTCTCTGACTTTATAAAGAAAAGGAGAGAGGAGGAGAGCATAGTCAGAACTAAAGTTGTCTCAATGTATTCCTTGCATATTTAGTTTAAAACTAATTGAGATCTCTATCAAGGGAGCAAGAAAAGGGATAATATTTATTAAGTGACAGACACTGTGCCAGAAGGTAAGAATAAAACAATGAACAAGGCTGCACAGCCCCTGTCCTCAAGGAGCTCAAAGTAATTCTAACAAAAGGACTTCCACTTAATTCTACTGAAAGTATGGTCAAAGGTATCTTTCAGGATGCTTAGGCTTCTTATTACATTTGACCATTTATCTTTGAGAAACATTTTCTAGGAATTTTCACTAACAAAATGCTACACTACCTTTAACAAAACAGCCTCCTCCTCATCATTTTCATTATCTGTTTTTCAGTTTTACCTGGTTTCTGTGGTACTTTTCTTACTAGTAGTGAGATAGAACTTTTAAAATATGCTTATGAAACATTTCTATCTCCTTCTTTTAGAAGAACAGTTTATTTCTTTTACTCATTTCTTGGTTAAAGGTTTACTATTTTTCTTACTGTTTAGTTTTTTGCATGTTAAAAGGGCTGCTTCAAGATATTTTATGTAAATATTTTCCCAGGCTGGTGTTTGTTGCACATATATGTCTGGGTGTGTATGTGTTACATACACACACATACATACACATCCTTATATTTTGAAACAGAGAAATTTAAAATTCTATGTCAATAATCTATCAAGATTCTGGGAGAGGATTTTCTACGGCTTTAAAAATTAGTATGTTTTTATCCGTTTGAGAAATATTTGCCAGCATATTTCCCTAGTTTTTAAAAAGATCTGGATTTTCATATTTAACTCCTTGGTAAATGAGAATTTGATTTAGGTAAATGACCTAAATGGCCATATATGCATATAAACTGACTGCATTTTTCAGTTAACTCATAGTTAACAGGGTTTCCCAATACCATACAAGGGAACAATTCTTCCTTTCCTCACTGATTTATCTTATGAATTTGTATTATACTACTAGTTATTTCAGCTTCATTATTACTTTGGCTCTTATGGAGAAGTTCAAAGATAGCTTAGTTCCTAACAACCAGTTGTTTTTTTTTCCCCATCATATCTATGATTTTTCTTTAAAAAATCTTTAAAAATCAAACTGTTTCACTAGGACATTTCTAAGACACTGGCGTCTTTTCATTAATTGGTCTGGTAATAGATACTTTCATTTTACAGACTGGGGACTTCAGCACAGGAAGGCCTTTGTATTTGATCTTTATTATCTCTTTTTAAATATACTGGTCTCTTCTTTGACAACACTGATAAACCATGTGTACAATCTATCTCATATCCATCTCTCATTATCAACAATAATAACTAACATTTATCAGTGGCACTATTTATCAGACGCCCTGTTAAGAGGTTTACTTTTAGAGTCTTGCTGAATCTGTAAAATCCTGTAAGGTAAGAAATATTACGATCCTCATTTTATGGCTCAACATAATGGCTCATGCCTGAAATCTCAACACTCTGGGAGGCTGAGGCAAGAGGGCTGCTGACTGCTTGAGGCTAGGAGTTTGAGAACACCCTGGACAACATACCAAGACCCTATCTCTACAAAAAAAAAATTTAAAAATTAGCCAGGCATGGTGGTGTGTGCCTACAGTCCCAGCTACTGAAGAGTCAGAGGCAAGAGGATTGCCTGAGCTCAGGAGTACAAGACTGCAGTAAGCGATGATTGTACCACTATATTCCAGCCTGGGCCACAAAGTGAGACCTGTCTCTAAATTAAGAAAAACAAAAACAAAAACCACCTCCATTTCACAGATGAGGAAAATTAGGCTTACTTAAACTTATCCCGAGTCACAAAGCTGGCACAGGCTGTAGCCTATGCTATTCCTATGCCCAAGCATCTGGATCCCAGAGCTACACTGTTAACTACAGTTTTCACCTACCTTTTTTTTCTGTATTCTTGTGTGCTTCTGAAATTAGTTTTCTATTCTACACTATCGATCTGATATTTTAAAGTGTCAACTTTCTCTTTTACCACCTGCAATGTGGAATGAATTGAAGCTTACCTTTTGAATTTCTTTAAATTCATTTTTTCTTATATGTCTTTTTAAATCAAAATCTTGAGACTCTCTTTTCATCTCTTCATTAATAGAAATTGTTTTCTTCTATTTTATTGAGAACACACTCTAAAATATTCCATTTCTTACAGCAAAGCATTTTAAGATATGCTTTGCCTTTACTTACTTTCCTTTTTTGGGAAAAGGGGGACAGAATCTCACTTTGTCAACCAGGCTGGAGTGCAGTGGCATGATCTTGCTTCACTGCAACCTCTGCCATCTGGGTTCAAGCGATTCCTGTGCCTCAGCCACCTGAGTGGCTGGGATTACAGGTGTGTGCAACCATGCTGGGCTGAGAAAGTCGCAGTTTCTATTTCTTTCCTAGGAGATGGAGTCATACCCGTAAGCTAAATTCTAGGTGTGGTCATCTGGTTCAGAGCACTCCTTTACCACCAGGTCCTGGGCTAGTTAGTCTTTACAGAGAGATCCAGTCAGAACAGCATTATCAATTACTCTAAATTCAGTTTGTCTGTTGCAATTAAGGATTTAGGGATTAGCATCTGAAAGGAACCATAGACGTATAAGGTGGTCTAATTTTAAGTAATTAACTTACTTCATTAAATGAATATTTACTGGCATGGCAATGTAAAACAGGATAGAAATAGTTCTAAAGTTTCAACAGCATAAAATAAACATACTGTGACAGTTTCAAGTCTCTGTTTGACTAGTTGCATCTTTGTTGAAGAATTTTCAGTATGGACATATTCACCAATCTGAAAAGAGCCTTGATGGGGTAGTTTTGGAGAGGTACATAGGGCATCTTGACTTTGGTGTATTCCAGGTAATGGAAATGTTCCGTTGTAGCGTTTGCACATTTCAACCTCCTGCTGGGCAACTGAAGAAACAAATCCATAATTAGTTTAAATCACCATAGCAAAAGCATAATCAAATAAGCCCGAAAACTGTAGCATTCAACAAATAATCAAAAACTGCATAACACATCTTAAAAACTGGGTAGTAGTAAGATACCATGACCAGCAAAATTTGAAATTATTGGATGCTATAAAATCATAAGGAAGGAAATATAACTTCAGGTCAGGCAGCATTATAATTGAGCTGTGAAGGCGATGTAAATTGGGATGGGATAATAACTTTAAATATATGTATGTAGAAAAATATTAAAAAATTAAAGGCATAACAGAATTAAGGGAAATGCTAAAATAAATATTCACAAGCCTCTTTAAAACAACTACTTTCATATTTCTGTATACTTTTTTATATATACATTCTATGTAAGATATCATAATGTAAATACAATTTAACATTTCTCAACTTAAATGGTAATATTTCTCATATTTCTACAATGACATCATTACCATTATTAATGTTTTACAGCATCTCATTTAATGAAGCACCATAATTTTTTTTTTTACATTCTCTTATACTGACTACAGTTGGCTCTCTATATCTGTGGGTTCCCCATCCATGAATTCAACCAACTATGGCTCAAAAATATTTTTTAAGAAAAGTAACAATAAAAAATACAGTATAACGATTTATATAGCATTTGTACAATATTAGGCATTATAAATAATCTACAGATTATTTATATGTCCACAGGTTATATGCAAAACTATGCCATTTTATATAAGTGCTAATTTTAGCTTCCATAGATTTGGTATCTCCAGGGGTTCTGGATCCAGTCCTCTATGGATAACAAGAGGTAACTCTATAGTGTTCTCTGTTTTCCCTTATAGATCATGCAAGAATAAGTATTTGATAGCTGATTTTCTTTTTTTTTTTTTTGAGACAGAGTCTCGCTCTGTTGCCAGGCTGGAATGCAGTGGCGTGATCTCGGCCCACTGCAACCTCCACCTCCTGGATTCAAGCAATTCTCCTGCCTCAGCCTCCCAAGTAGCTGGGACTATAGGTGTGTGCCACCACGCCCAACTAATTTTTGTATTTTTAGTAGAGATGGGGTTTCACCATGTTGGCCTGGATGGTCTTGATCTCTTGACCTCATGATCTGCCTGCCTCAGCCTCCCAAAGTGCTGGGATTACAGGCGTGAGTCACTGTGACTTTGTTTCTTAACATAATTCCTATTTTGGATTTAATTCTCTAGAGTGAGGAAGTTGGCTCAAAGGGTGAATGTTTTAATGATGACAATGATGATGATGACGGCAATGAGCATAGTAGCACCTGTGCGGCACTTTACATTTTTTAGGGTGCTATCACATACACATTACCTTATTTGATCATTTAAAACATATGAATTTGATACATTTTTAAATGTCTGTCTATATATACAAAGGAGAAAAAAATATATAAATTCATCATTTAAAAAAATATTTCTTTAGTTATATAATCTTGAAATGGAAATCCTTCCTAAACATGACATGAAAGAAAGAAATCTCAAAACAGGGATTCACAATGTGGAATCAGTGGATGAGCCTTCAGGAAGTCTATGGACTACTGAAATTATTATGGAAATGTGAATGTGTATATACAAATGTTTCTGGAAAGCAGATTCATAATTTTTATCAGGTTATTCATCGATGGATTACATGAATCAGAAAGGTTAATAATTGTCAACATTCCTACGGACCCAGACCAATGAACAGATTTTGTAACATGAACATTTAAAGAGTCTTCATTAAAATAAAAAAACTGGCTAGGCACAGTGTCTCATATCTATAATCCCAACACTTTGGGAGGCTGAGGTGGGCAGATTGCTTGAGCCTAGGAGTTTGAGACCAGCCCTGGCAAGACAGTAAGACCCTGTCTCTACAAAAAATTTAAAAATTAACTGGGCAGAGTGCCATGTGCCTGTAGTTTCCAGCTGCTTAGGAGGCTGAGGTGGGAGGATCACTTGAGACTGGAGGTGAAGGCTGTCACTGCATTCCAGTGCAGACTGGATGACAGAGCTAATATGATTTTTAAATAATAATATTTAAGAACCAAATATATAAATAAATGACCACAATAAAAATTAAAAAGGAAATGACATAACAGGTTTCTTCCATTTCTGACCAAAATGGAGTAGGGACTAGATTTACTCTGCTGCTCAAAACTACCAAAAAATGGACAAATTGTATAAAAGAAATAATAACTCTTTCTTTGCAGACATGATTGTCTAGGTAGAGCTAAAGCGGAATGAGGCAAGAGAAGAACACTTTAAGGAAGTTCTCACTCTGAGGTCCTGGCTCCACTTCTGTGTAAAAACTCTAAATGGAATAACCAAAGCACTAGAATTGACTTTAGCAAGGTTTAAGGAGATGAGATCAAAACACAAAAATTATCTCTATGTCTATATACAAGTAATGAAGAACCAAAAACTGAAATTAAAAAAATATATATGCCATTTACTATGGAATAAAAAATATGACATAGTTTAGAAAAAAATTTATGAAAGATGTGAAAGACCTGTACACCGAAAACTAAAAATACTCCTGAGAGAAAGTGACAAAACAATTTGTCATTGTGTTCACGGAGTGGCATACCCAGTATTGGTAAGATGTAAATTCTCCACAAATGTCTGTAGCTTAATGCAGTCCCACTCAAAATTTCAGCAGGATATTTTTAGAGAAATTGTAAAATAAATTCTAAAATTGACATGCAAATGCACATTACCTAGAACAGCCAAAACAACTTTGAAAAAGAACAGAGAATTAACACAACCTGACTTCAAGTCTTATAAAGGTACAGTAATCTACACAGTTTGCTACTGGCATAAAGATAAATAAATAGATCAAAAGAACAGTATAGAGAGCCCAGGGTGTATAGACAAAGTATAAAGGCCATTTAGTGGAGAAAGGACAGTTTTCCCAACAAATGGTGTTAGAGTAGTTTGATATTCACATGTGAAAAAAACCCAACTTTGATCTACACTTCACAACATGTACAAAAGTAACTCAAAATGAACCACAGATCTAAATGCAAAACCTAAATCTATAAGACTTCTAGAAGAAAACAGAGAACACTTTTGTGAGCTTGGGTTAGGCAAAGATTTCTTAGATACAACACTAAAATGTGTAAGAGAACAAACTGATAATTTGCACTTAATCCAAATTTCAAACTTATGTTCTTTAATCTGTTAAGACAATTAGAAGACAAACCAGACTGGGGAGAAATACCTGCAAATTGTATGCCTGATAAAATACCTGTATACGGAAAACACAAAGAACTCTCGAAACTCAATAGTCTGAAAACAAATAAGCCAACTTAAAAAATGGACAGAACATTTGAAAAGATACTTTACTGAAGAAGTTATATGGATGACAAATAAGCATGCAAAAAAGGTGCTAAGTATCATTAGTCATTAGGTATAAGCAAATTAAAACCACAATAAAATAGCACTGCATGTATATTAGAATGGCTAAAATTCAAAAGATTGGCTATTTCAAAGTTGGCAAGTACATTCACACACTAATGTTGCAAACGTTAAATGGCACAACCACTTTAGAAAACAGTCTGGCAGCTTCTTAAGAAGTCAAACATACATCTGCAATATGATCTAGCCCTTCTACTCCTAGAAATTCATCCAAGAGAAATGAAAGCATATGTCCATACAAAGACTTGTATGTGAATATTTGGAGCAGCTCTACTTGTAATAGCTAAAACGTGGATACAACCCAAATGTTCATCAACAGGTGAATGGATAAACAAACTGTGGCATAGCCATACAATTAACACCCAACAATATAAAGAATAAACTGATGAAAAATGCTAAAACACAGATTTATCTCAAAGTAATTATAAGTGAAAGAAGCCAGACAGAAAAGGGTACATGGTCTCTACAGTTTCATTTATATACAATTCTGAAAAATGCAAACTAATTTATAGTGGTTGCCTGGGGTAAGGGTGAGGAAAGAACAGAACACAAAAGGGCATAAAATAACTTTTGGGGATGATGAGTAAGTTCATTATCTTGATTGAGGCAATGGCCTTACAGGTGTATAAATGTCTAAACTTATCAGATGGGACATTTAAATATGTTCAGTTTATAATATGTCAATTACATCTCAATAAAGCCATTCACCAAAAAAAAGCAAATGAAAAAATTGTGATGAAAGAGGTAATTATTCTTACTATGCAAAGAGTTCCCATAAAATCCATTAAAAATTAATAAACAGAAAAATGGGCAAAGAACCATTAAAGAAAATTCACAAAAGAGCTATGTGTCCAATAAAAAGATATTTAACTTCACTATAAATTAAAGGAATTATTAATAAAAATGTAAATTAGAAAGTTAGGCTTTTTTTTTTTTTAAACCTGTTTAACTGACCCTTTGTAACTCAAGACATTTCCTGAGGAACAAATTAAATAAGGGTAGCTAGGTATACACTGAAGCACTGTTTAAATGTTGAAAAAGATGTAACAGTATAATTGTGCAACAACAGTTGTTTACTATGGTGTATTCATTTAATGAAAGCGAATTTAGCCACTAAAATTATGTACAGGAATGTAATGAACACAATGAAACACTGCCCATAATATGTTATCAATTGGAAAAAAATAATTTATAAAACAATATAGTCAGTATACAAAAGGATGACCACTTTTTCAAGTTATCAGTCTTGGTTTTTTCGCCAACTATAAGTCTGAGATGACGTGTATAAACAATGCTAGGTCTTTGATCTTTATATTCATGTACTATTTCATTTAGGCACTCTAAATGAAGAACAGCTCAATAATAATTGGTGTTCTCTCCCTGCAGACCTTGAAAGTAATGAGCACCAAAGGATATTATAAAGGGAGAGGACCTGTTTACACTTCACCCTTTCAGTGATGTACACACCTCAATACTAATTACTACTTTTAAACAGAAGTGTAGCCTTTTTTCTCTGTAGATTGTTGTGGGTTTCACTATTATTTTTCATTAAACATTTTGAACA